TTTCTTCTAGCTTCCTAGTTACAATTAAGATGCAGTCCACAATAGGTAGGCATGTAAATAGTGACTGAACATCAAAACTGACCATAGTTTCATTGTTAGCGAGATGTAGGTCTTTTATCTCACTCACAAAATGGTATGAATCCTTTGTGTGTGCTCTGGTATGTCCTCTTAGTGGTGATAGTATTTTTGCTAAGTATTGTGCCAGCTTATAGGTTGGTGAATCGATCTGGCTCACTATGGGACGTAGTGGAGCGTTTGGTTTGTGTATCTTCGGTAACCCATACAACCTCGGTGGTTTGGCACATGATGGTATTAGCGAATTCGAATAGCGAAATTAAACCCAAACCCAAGCATACCACTGCAAGACTTCATGATACTATAAGCTCGTTTTGCGTAAATCGGACCAAAAATTAATATTAAAAAACTGAAGGTAGCCGGACTAACTATGACATTGGGACGTCAAACATCTCAGTCCCCCCCCGTGACCATGGGCGCTGTAAAGCACCCGAAACGTCGGGATAATAATAAATTAAAGTAATTAAACGCGATAAAATCCGTAAATAATAGTTTTATTCAATGTGTAGTGTTCGCGTAAATTTAAGAAATCATTAGTTGAATAATGTACAAATTTTCTTTGCGGCATTGGTTAGAAAATAATCTTACTTCGTAATTTTTTTATTTTTATAAATACAAACATTAAAATAGTTAAATATAGTATTGTGCGTGCGAAACTATTTTCTAAAGCGATCCTTTTCTTCTCTCTAACCTCTTTGATCCGTGGTCAAGAGTACATTTAAGCGGGCTACATACGACACGATATCGGTGGCGATCTAGGGTGGAAAGAAATCGGGGCTTTTATCGGGGTAGACCTTACACACGGGCCTGCCTAGCAGTACGCGTTCGGACTTGGAGCGGAATGCATATGCGATAGAGTTCTTCAAAATACCTCCGACTCTCTTAAAACACCACCGTGTTGGTTTGGTATTAGCCATCTCGGTTAATTTATTCGAAATTAGAAAAAGAGAAGTTGCTGGGTGAAAAAATGGCTCCAAAAGAGATAAAAATTAAGCCACATAAACGTACTAAATGGCCTGTAATCCAAGGACGTGATTAATTTTCTCCGGATGGATGAAAACAGTTTTTATAACCTTCTAGAAATTATTTCGCCACTTATATAAAAACGTCAATTTCTCCTACCTATGCTATTTAGTTATTTCTTCTCTTTGTTCACACACAACAAACAAGGAAATAAAATACTTTTGTATAATAATATGTATACTTTTTTTAATGTAATCTTTATTTATGGAGTAAAACTATCAGAAAATAAAATAGCTTATATCTTTTTTTAAACATAAAGAAACCTTTAATTTCAGACATACTCCCTTTTATATAACTTGTTTGTTGATGTGGAGATGGTGAAGGAGTAGAAGTTAGTTGTTGATAAGAGGATGAAGGCACGTAAGAGATCGAAGTGTGGTCTTATAGAGTTGTAAGAGATATGAGTGCGGTCTTGTGTTGATAGCGTTGGAATAGGAGTTAGTTGTTGAGGAGAGGCTTTATATTCTCCTTACTTACATCATACACTCTACTTTACGAACGGCAATAAAAAAAATTGGTTTAGTAGGCATTCTTGACCATGTCACTTCGCAGGTCACAGGCTAGGGTGGATATGATTTGAATTTCGATAGAATTTCAATTAATTTATTTATTTTTTTCACTTTTTTTTTTTTGGTTTTTTGTAAAATATCAGTGCCATAGGCTTTTACTCCGTTTATATGATTAAAATGTAAAAATTTTGTTACATAAAAAAGGTCATTCAGTATCACTGTTTTGTTAACTTCCTTCCGCGAGGGTTGCCGGCAGCGACTGCCAAAAGAAATCGGGCCGATGCGCCTACACACACGCAGTAAGGAGGGGGGTGGTGCCCCGATCTAGGAGGCATCGGCTGATCTAGGAAGCATTTTTGCTCCTGCCAGCCGATTAAGGAGGCGATATCGGCCACGACTTAGGATGGCCCTACATACGACACGATTTAGAGGCAATCTAGGAGGCATCCCCACTACTCCACCCTAGATCGCCACCGATATCGTGTCGTATGTAGCCCGCTTAAACTCTATGATGTCAGTGCTGCCGTCAACGAAATTGCGATTGCCGTGTTTAGCAGTGAAAAATACCGTTTATTTATAATGATTTTATTTACGCGAACACTACACATTGTATAAAACTACTTTTATGAATTTTATCGCGTTTAATTCTAATTATCTTAAATACCCGATGTTTCAGTTTCAGTAGCTTTGCGGCACCCAAAACGTTGGGGAAAATATCCGTAATAGTAATTTTATTCAACACCGATTAGTATCACTGACTTAGAATATAAACTGTTTAATATGCACAATGCCTTGTAGATGGAAATATTATTACAGGTTATTGCAACTAATCTGCGCAAATCCACTACTAACCAGTTTCTATAAAGAGCCCGTGAGCGTTGCGTCGTATTATCAATTACAGCATGTTCCCTTTTATTTTTATTTTTAGTTAACTAGTTGAACTCCCGATTTTAATACATGTATCATCTACACATCCTACCAATATATACTAATGCAGCTTCGTTATAAGATATAATAACTTTTCTAATTCTTAATTATGCGCACTGGAGCAATGCAGCAGCCCAATTGCTCTATGATCATTAAAAGGAGGCTTGTGCCCGGTTGTGTGACGTTGCTTTTACTAAATATTCCAAGAAAGAACCATTTAACCAATAGAGATGAAGAATATAGATTCAACTTAAAAAACAAAAGATGATTAACACTTTTTTCAGTGTCTTCTTTTTGTTGTTATTCTTATGGCAATACTTTGCTTTAAACATTATTGGACGTGCCACCGAACTCTCCACATATCAACATTATTTTAATTACTATGTTATATTATAAGCAAGTTCTTACAATTGAACAATATTTTCGCGTGTTAAGGCCAAACTATGCTTTTTCTGGTATAATGTGCACGCATCACATTAATTCTTTATCGCCCTGTAAAAGCCCACAGCTGGACATGAGTTTCTCGCGTTTTATTGAGGACTTACCTTATTTGCAATCTTTAACGTGAATAAGATTCCTGGTCTTTGTCTCTCGACTAGTCTACACCCCTTTGTTGTCAACACATCGCGTTTTCAAGCCAAATAGTTGCGCGAAAAGTGCCCAAAGGTATGGCGGGGTGAACGATCAAGTGAACTGTATTAGCGTGGTTCAAAAGGAACCAAAACAAAATGCCAGACGTGGCACGTGGCGGATTTTGGACAATATACTTGCTTTGAAATTAATTTGAGACGTTGGCTGACACGACGAGATAGCTGCTGCGGATAAAGGAACAACAAATAAAGCAGCTCATAATAAAGATGGGCACTTACCTGGGGGAAGTGGCGAGCGGTTTCTCTTTTGACGGATATGCAGGCACTATGAAATTGACACATCACCCCCGTGCGGGGAAGGAACGGAAGTAAGGGGAATTATGCCAGTCAACCCAACAAATTAACATATCAATAAATACGAAATGCAAGGGTGTGCGTTGGCGCAACCACCCTTAAATGATAAAACAACAAAAATCGAAAAAGGACTGGTGTATTACTTAAGTATTTAAAGTGGAAGAAAGCGTGAATAAAGCATTGCGTATTAAACTTTTAAAAATTTCTGCCTTTTCGGGGGTTTTATACATTTGAAACCTGACGATTATTAAGATCAAGGTAAATATTTCTGTTTTAACCGATTCTTGAGTTTTTCCAACGAAACCACTGAGAAAGTACTCGCAATACTATAAAACGGTTCGGGTAGTTGCAATAGACCATGAAGGTTAGAGAACAGGAGAACGATCACTACGTACTAAAGCATTGCCCTCCTGTCCTTAAAAATTGTAGAATTTATAGCGGCGCTGACGTCAGTGAGTAGTGACTGCGAAGTTAGTTGTTTATGAGTACAAGTATATGAAGATTGAAGTTTTCTCCGCGGCATTGGTGAGAAAATTTTCTTGTTCCGTCATTTTGTAATTTTTGACAAAAAGAAACATTAAAATATGTAGAAATATTTTATTGTGCGTAGATGTGCAAGTGGTTTAGCATCTGATCGGAAAAATAGACTGAAAATGACTTTTATTGACCAAACTTAGCAATCGCAGCGCCTCACTTATGGTGTCCATATTTCTGGGACAGTATTTTCTACGGCGATCGTTCTCCTGTTCTCTAACCTTCATGCAATAGACGGTGAAAGCTTTATTTTGAAACATGTGTTTGTACCATACCATTTACAATTTTTTTCAGATCCAGATGACATGGCAACACTAAACGTAACTAACGAAAACGGCGCGATTTTTGTTTGTGTGTTGTGTTATTGTGACGTTATTATTGATTTTTTTTAATAAATCATATAGACTGCTTATAGTAACTAATAAATAAAATATCTAGATGCAAAACAATAGTATAAAAAATAAAAATATTCTATTAATATATAGTATGTATTTTATCGGTCCACTAAAAAAAACTTTTACACTTGTGATCTTGTGATCGTGAAATTCTAAAAACAAATATTTTGACATGTAGAGATTTTCGTGTTTTTAGAATTTTACTGGACTCTTTTTTATGTTGCGTTTCTCCACTTTGTAAATAGTGTAGAGATATGGGCTTACACTAATTGTCCCAAAGTATCAAATATTTTAGAAACATTTTGTGGTTAATTTGTGAAAAATATCGCGAAAAACACTAAATAATATTTTTATTGTAGACATTAATTATTTGTACGGCAACAATGTTAGTAATATAGGCTTGTTAAAAATGAAATTATATATTATACGAAAAAAAGCATAATATGTAGAAACTTGCACATTTATTATGTTTTAAATTTTTAGCAGTTTAAGACAATACGCACGCTTCACCGCACAATATGTCTCGTAGTGAAACAGAAGTAGACTTTAACGGTTATATTGATATGGAATTTTCATCTGGAGATTATAACAAAATGAAATGTAAACAGTTGTACCAGGAGGAGAACAATAACGAGATTGATGAGCTCACAAAAGATTTCTCAGAGATGGGTTGCATAGTTGATGCTATGAAAAGACCTCCTAACATTTGTGTTGAAACATGTGTTTATGAAGAATCTGATTCAGGTAATGATAAATCACACTCAGATAACAATGAAAATGAAGATGCTGCCTACTCTGATGAGTTCGAAGATGATAAAAGTGACATAGAAGTGAAAGAGGAGGAAATTAAACAGCAGAGTAAGTCTGCAAATAGTGTTAACATAATTTCATCTCAGCCCATTGTAAAGTTGTCAAAGAGTTTATCAAATAGTTGTAATATTAAACAACCATCATTATCAGGCAGATCTACAAATTATGGGTGAGTGTGTAATTTAGGCTATTAGTGTTCTCATAAATTATTTTACTGTCAGACCTTATACCTTATTTGTTGAGGAACATTTTCTAATTTGTTAAATTCCCCATTTCCAGTTCTGTGTCAGTACCACCAACCCGGCGTATCAACATGTCGTTCACAAATGAGAGAATGCGAGAGATTGAGAGGCACAACCATATACTGCTTAATAAAATACTAAGCGCACGCAACAATAAAAAGTCATCAATATCAGCACGGGAACAGTCTATCAGGAAACCTGTTCCACCTGCAGCCGCTGTGCATAGGAAGCGTCAGCAGAGGCAGATTGATCATGATAATATGGTAAGATTGATTAGTGAACTAGAACATAGCTGATGTCATAGATCAGTTGCAATATCTGGTGTAAGAAGTTTTTAATATCCTTCATAATACTTAGCTATTGAAGATCTTCTCAGTCAGGAACGGTCCATTTGTGAGCATGGAGCAGTACCAGATGTCTTGCACCTTTGATATGACTCTTTGCCACTTTTGGTTGTATTCATTACTGATGTATATGAAATGGTATATCATCATCTAGAGATACTACAAGGATTATCTCACCTTTCTTCTTATTGGGTTGGATATTCTTAAAGAATCTGTTATTTCGTGGTTTATTTTTTTTTAATTTATAGAGCTTTACTGTAACATGTTCTGACTGCACTTCAAATGGGTCAGCTTGACTAGGAAAGGACTATGCACGCTCAGAATACCATCATAATGTTGTTTTTATTGTTGAAGATGAGAATGGAGAACTTTCAATATTTGAATAAAATTTTTTCAATTATTCATTTAGTATTTAAGCATCAAATGATATTAATTTCAAGATGATTTAAAGATGACTCTGCCAGTCAACCTGTGGAGTGATACATATAATTTAAATATATGGATATAATATATTAAGTTCCATTTAATAATAAAATACATATATTAAAATTGCAAATATGTAATACATATTAGAGCTCAATATATTATATGTGTAATATTCATAGAGTGGCCAAATTTTAAAGTTAAGTTCAACTATATAAATAATGATAATATAATGTAAATGCAGTTTTTGAGTAAAATCAGTTAAAATAATGCATTACCACACATTTATTCGAAATTTTCATTATATTAAGAGATGAAAATAACAGAATGTTTGAGATTTTTTTTTTTTTTTTTTTTATCACTTTTTCATCACATATTACTTATTCTGAGCAATCCCTGCAAAGGCCATTTATTGCAAAATACTCTATAATATAAGTATATTATACATTACAGATGTACCAATACAGTACAGTACAGAGTGCCGTGTAGTGGCGGTTAAGAATATCCACTACCCCATATCTTCCCGTGGGTGTTGTAAAAGGAGACAGAGGGAAACAGGCAGGAGATGGGCAGCAGCATCTTTCTGATAACATCAACTGTATAACAAAAAAAAACTGCGGTTGCCAAACCGCTCGCCAAGCGTGGCAACTATGGCAATATACCCCCCCCCACCATGAAGAATTACACAAATAGACGGCCCCCAGTCCCCGGCGGCCCCGCTATTCCTGGCTACGGTGGTGACCATAGTAACGGCGGAGCAGAGGTGCTAAGAATCTCCGGTGGAGGTTCGGTTGCCACCTACGATGACTCGACCTGGCAACATTTAACGCACGCACCCTGAGGACTGACGAGAAGATCCTGGAGCTGGAAGAAGAGATAGTCAAGTTGCGCTGGTATATTATAGGATTATCCGGTGTCCAAAGAGAGGGGGGAGGACACGGTGATTCTCGAATCCGGCAACTTGTTCTATCACCGGAAAGACGACCATCTGTCCCAAGGAAGTGTTGGATTTATCGTCCACAAGTCTCTCGTTAACAACGTTTTGAAGATTGGGAGTGTATCAACGAGGGTTGCGTACCTTATACTCAGAATCACCAAACGGTATTCGCTGAAGGTCATACAGGTTTACACGCCAACGTCGGAACATCCCGATTAGGAGGTGGAGGAAATGTATGAGGATATTTCTAGAGCCATGCGTTTCTCCAAAAACTCACTATACGGTGTTAATGGGAGACTTCAGCGCAAAACTGGGCACAAGAAAGAACGGTGAGCTGAAGGTAGGGAAATTTGGGATAGGGCAACGGAACCCAAGGGGCCAGCAGCTGGCCGACTTCATGGAGAAAGAGGGACTTTTTATGATGAACTCTTTCTCTTCCAGAAGCGGCCCCACAGAAAGTGGACCTGGTCGAGCCCCGACGGTTCGACAAAAATGAGATTGACTTCATTATGACCAGACGCCAACTGTTCAGTGATGTCTCAGTGATCGCAAGGGTGAAAACTGGCAGCGATCACCGAATGGTTAGAGGCACACTGAACCTAAACGTTAAGTTGGAGAGGTCTTGTCTAATGAAGTCAACGCTCCGTCCCCCTCGTGCTCTAATCCAGAATCCCGAAACCTTTCAGCCCGAGTTACGTAACCGCTTTCAGTGCCTAGAAGATTGTAATGCCGCGGACGATATGAATACGAATGAATGACAAGCTCGTGGAAACTGTCCATGCGGTCGGAGCTAAGTTCTGCAAGACCCGCCTCAGAAGAACACAAAAACTCTCCATCGTCTCGTTTAATGTCCATGTCACACCTATGCCGGTAGTTGTTTGGAGCACTATGCTCGAAGTTGTTGACGAGTACGTTTACTTGGGACAAATAGTCCGACTAGGTAAGTCCAACTTCGACCGAGAGGTCAATCGACGGATTCAACTCGGCTGGGCAGCGTTCGGGAAATTACGACACATCTTCTCGTTAGGTATTATACCTCAAACACTGAAAACTAGATTGCGTGTTGCCAGTGATGACTTACGGATCTGAGACGTGGTCCTTCACTGCTGGCCGTATGAGGACGCTCAAGGTATGGAGAGGGCTATGCTCGGAGTTTTTCTGCGTGATAGACTCAAAATTGAGGATATCCGCAGTAAAACCAGAATGACCTACATAGCCCAACAGATTAGTAAGCTAAAGTGGCAATGGGCCGGCCATATAGCTCGAAGAATCGATAACCGATGGGAAAGAAAGGTTCTCGAGTGGCAGCCTCGTACCGGTAGGCGTAGTGTAGGGCGACCCCCCACTAGATAGAGTGACGACCTGATAAGAAATGCAGGAAGTCGATGGATGCAGGTGGCTCAGGACCGTGCTTTGTGGCATTACTTGAGGGAGGCCAATGTTCAGCAGTGGACTTGTGAAGGGCTGTAATAATAATGATGATACATTACAGATAGCTGGGCTTACCTTCATGAACTTTAACTACTCATAGTTGCACTTTCGAATGACTATGTTCCAAAGATCAACTTTTTTAACTTTAAAACCAATGACAGGTGAGGTTTAGAGCATTGTACTCGGGACCTTATCGTTTTCAAGAAAATTAAGAACAAAATTATGATTTTCTTCAATAATCTTGCTCGTTTGACATACTCGTAAGTGTTACTACATTTGACATGTTGCGGTTTATTTAAGAAAGTTGTTGTGTGTTTTTTATTTTGCATAAAAAATTAACGACGACAATCAGTGCCATGAGAACGCTTTCGCCTATATCTGCAGGCCCACCAGCGCCGACTGTTTCTTAGCGGCTCCTCTTGAAGAACAACTCCGCCTCTTCGTCTTTAGGCCAAAGGTGCAAGGACACATGACGCGTTTTGCTGCAAGCCCTCCATCACCATCTGTGCTACAGAACTCCCCGCCCCCAAGCTATAATAAATGAAAAAAATTATAATAACACAATGACTTATTTGTGTTACGCATATGACTTATGGAGCAATCTCGTCCATGGATAGATTAACATCGTTGCATCTATCTTAACTTTATAGCACAATCATGCTCTTCATTGAAGACTTTCTTCTGGAAGAGTAATGATAGATATTTTGTTGAATCACGTTTATTATGTTATACATATTATATTATATAGTTGTACGGTTGTACCGCAAAATAGCCTGTATTTCGAGAGTCGTAATTATAATTATCATGGGGGATAGGCGAAGTGTAGGGCGTCCCCCCACTAGATGGAGTGACGACCGACCTGCTAAGACATGCAGGAAGTCGATGAGTTTAAGATGGCTCAGGACCGCGCTTTGTGGCATTCCTTGGGGGAGGCCTATGTTCAGCAGTGGACTTGTGAAGGGTTGTAATGATGATGATGATGATGACGATGATGACTTAAATTATGGTAGCCGTAGTAGCTTAAGGGCTGAACATTTTTTTTTGTAAAAAATATTAACAATGCTATAAACATTACTAATATTCCCCTTAACCACTCGTGGTAAACTTAAATTGCTTGTGTTACGAGTGGTTCACGCCAGACATTGGCCACACCACAAATATTTTCAAGACATGGCGTCACATCACATATTGGAGAAGTGTGTGCTCGTGAACATTTCCTTACCCTACAATCTTTTTAGATATTGGAGGAGGCCTGTGCCAAATGGTATTTTTACTGTAGACTGTCTTAACTTGTTTTATCGTATTCAATTAAATCCTTTTTTATATTCCTATAAAATATTAATTTTCAGATCCTCCTGAAGAAAATCCAACGCGTAAAGTCGTCGGTGTGCAGTTTGCGTCGTTGATACAGAAGGCGCGTCCGTTACGCGGGCGCAATGGAACGCTGCTTGCCAACATTGTTATACGTATATTTCGTGTCAAATATATATTACTGTTTTCTATCTGTGTTTAATTTATTTTTTATTTATATTACTTACATTACGAAGAATAAGATCGTTTAATATTTAATTTTCTTAATGATTTCTTACATTTACGCGAACACTATACATGATTAAAACTACTTTTACGGATTTTATCGCGTTTATTTTTACTTTTTATTTACTTTTATTTTTATTTTATGGGCGCTTTCCAGCACCCATGGTCACGGGGGGGGAATCACGGGAGAGCGCCCGAAACGTCGGGAATTAAAAATAAAAGTAAATAAAAAGTAAAAATAAACGCGATAAAATCCGTAAAAGTAGTTTTAATCATATTTAATTTTCTATTAAAAATATTAAACCATTTACCGTCAGCAGCAAGTTTATTCTTGTGTTCTAAAAACTTCAATATAAGATATCCGGGTGGCGTTTAGTCCATACAAACATTCCTGCTGTTTTCTCCCTGGTTGATGATAACAGAGCAGGTATTTTTTGTCGTAATGAAGGGAGAGTTTCCAGTGTTAAATATACTATTTATATATACTGATAGTTTCCGCCTTCCGTAAGGGGTTCTATATATTATGTTCTGTTCTATACATATGTAGTTGTTCGGAAACTGATAGCATGTTTAGGCTTTAGTTCGTTTCCGCTTGCAACGCGGCGACTGCGCCGCCACATAGCTCCTAAAAGACTGGTTATTCCATTTATCCACCCTAGGGTGGGTTGATACACGGAAATGCTTGTTTTACCCCAGACGGGGTGGATAATCGGAATTCACTTTTTCATTGTTCCGCCTTATTACCCCAAGTACAGTTCAACAGAATAATATGTATTCGTACTTTAATACAATATTAATTACTTTAATACATTGTTATTAAAAAAATCATGTTATGTATGTGCTGCATTTAAACCAAATTAAACTTCTTCGTTTAAAATAATAGTAATTTATTAATTCTGTAATATGTCCAGGAAATGACCAACACTAATTTCATTATTGAGTAGGCGTAATTGTACATCCTTAATCAATTCGTCTATTTTAATATACATTTGTAATAGTTTTCTAAATTTAGTTCTTTAGCAAACTTTTTTGCTAACCAAAAACCTTACTAAATTTGGATGTTTGTCTTTAACTTCATTTGAAATAATTTCATGCCAAGATTCTAATGAATTTGTAGTTCTGTGAGCCACTTCGACTGAATTTCAAACAGATTTATAACTTTCGTCCTTCAGCCATCTCTTTTGATAGTATTTCACAAAAGCCATCATATTATGATTATTATTCAAAAAATATTTCACAAACAGCCAACATGTTACTATAAACGACTGTACAAGCGAGGGTGAAAATCTGAAGAAAAATAATATACGAATTCCGATATTATTTCGTTAAACGAACACGTGTTTCTGAGTATCCACCCTAGGGTGGTTTAGTGTAGATAAACGGAATAACCCCATAAGATCCAGAGCCGTGCTGACATTGTAGCGTTGGGGAAGTAGAAGGCACAGAAGGCGTTAATTATTCCAATGCTGCGACGAACCTTGTTGAGCTAAAGTGTATCAGCAGACTCTCACAGCGAGGTTCTGACGATGACGCGCGGGTAAGTAACTGTGGTTTAGTGAGAAACGATGAACTAAAAAGCCGGCCCGACGTGGCCACCCTGAGAGGGTTGTTTGCCTTACCCGGTGTCACTATGCCCCCGCGAGCCGCGAGACGAGTGCGCGTAGGAATATCAGCATGTAAAAAAAAGACTGACTCAGCAAGAGGTGAAGGCTGCAGACCATGACCATGACTGCTTGGGAGCGAATGGATGGGGTTCTTGAAAATGATGAAAGCTTAAAGTTGAGGTTTTCTTTTTCCGAAAGTTGCAGATTGAGTGTTCATATGACGTCAGACAGTCACTACTTCAATCATCCAAAGAAAAGTTGAGATCTCCCGACGAGTAAGGTGCATAGCCTGGGGGGTGTCCACGCTCCATGTGGTAGTACAGAGCTGTTCTATATATTCAGACTCGTGTGGAAACTTCAATTTAGCTGAATTTAGGCTTCGGTTCTACCACTGCCGGGCATCGTGTGATGATTTTGCCATAAATTAATTGTTTTAAAAATAACTTTCTAAAATTACTTAGATTGCCTAGTTACATATAGCGCAGTTATCAGACATCCAACAAACTTTAGCGAACTTCAAAATAAATTAAAAACAACAAATCCACCTACAAACCTTTTTAAATTTATATGACATAAATATGTAGGATATTCTACGTTCCTTCTTAAACATACTTTTCTTATATTTCTCTTTCTAATAAGTCCTTTGGTACCATCATGTGAAGCGTATGCTCGTTTGCCTCCATTTCCAAAAAAAAAAAAAAAAAAAATAAAATGGGTGATGATTTCGCCAATTTTCAACCGACTTCAAACAAAGATGGAGGTTCTCAATTCGACTGTATTGTTGATGTATTTCTTTATGATGATGTATTTTTTATGTGTGTTATAGGTACCTCAGAAGGTTTTACTGGTGAACCGATTTTGATGATTCTTTTTCATTTGAAAGCTGATGCTTCTGTTCTGATCTGACCAGTAGTTTTTGAATTATTCTTAATAATGCGTATTTAATCGACTTCAACTACATTGATGATCATCTCAATTTATTTTTATTGAAGTCAGTTGTACAAAATTTTTAACTTTACGTTTTGTCCTTAGGTATAATCAGTCTCAGCTGCAGTTGCCTTCGCTTGTCTAGCGCGGTTGTTCCAGCTCAACGCAATAGATCGTCAAACACCTTTTCATATAGCTCGAATATCAATAGTTATTTTTTTGGATCTTTTGTAACTGAGCAGTAAAGATTCTTTTAGGCAGTTCACTAGGGATGGTACTACTTACTTAATTTTGTTGCCAAACAAGCAGTTCATCTACTACTGTTTGGGTTTGAAGGTAAAGACTGCCACTATAAGTACAGAAGGCATTATTTTACTTACTATCAGGAGGACTGTTAGCTCGTTTAACACTCTAATATTAAAAAAAAAAACCGAATGTGTTATTTCTTTGTTTAAGTTTAGTTTCGAAAGGTCGAAAGAATCAACTAATGTTGCTATGCATTTAAATGTTAACAATATCGGATAGACACATGAATGGAAGAAACTTGCGAATTTGTAAAAAAAAAAAAAGATTTTGAACGTTGTTTCATTATTTATTCCTTTTTTTAAGTTAAAGGCCAGTGCTTGACTACAATCTCATCTGGTGGGAGCTGGTGATGAACCCATTTTAAGTAAATCAAACTCTTGACTTAAACAGACCTAGATTGTAAACGGACAGAAAGACACGCGCAGGCAAATTTTTCCACTCTCACTGTACGTATTAGAAAACACTTTTTGTTTATTTGTACCATTTTATTAAATTGCGTTGTAATGAAAAAAAAAAAACGAAATAATGTCATTAGCAAGAAGGATAAGGAATAAAAACAAAATTGTGGGAGGTGTATCACACAAAGAGTCAGAGATCGCATATAAATATTACGCCACAGGCGTCCCACGTCCATTAGATAGATAACAGAGGTTTGCATTTAAACAAGTTTACAACTACTAAGTAAAGATTGCCACGTCATTAACTTAATACTTAGTTATAATGAGATTATTAACTTTAATAAATAGGAAATATAAACAAAAGTTTTATCATCGTTAATAATGTTTATTGCATATATAAATTATCCACTGCTGCACACAGTTTTCAATGTTGAAGAGCCACGTTGCAGTTATATTGTTTGTAGCACGGCTAGACCGGAAAGACCACGCCTCCACAGAATACTAGGGTGAAACAGTAGCTTAATTCTCGTAGTTCTCAGGGGTGACAAGTGACAATGCATCTGCATTTTGATTTTTTGTTATAGATGTGGATGTCCATGGGCCTCAACATCTACTCAATCTTGGTGGTCTGTGGTAATGTACGTGAACTGCGTGCTCGGCTGTAACGCTGATTTTTATAGAAAAAAAAAATACATAAGCCTCTTCCAAGAACTTCACAAAACACGGTCTTGAGCCACCTGCATCTATCGATTTCCTAAATGGCTTACTAGATCCTGACACCACCAAGTGGCGGGCCACCCTACACTACGCTTATTGAATAAAGGGTGCCACTCGAGAACTTCTCTTTCCCATTGCTTCTCGGTTCTTCAAACTATGCAATCTGTTGCTACTTCATTTTGGTGATTCGTCGGGCTGAAACTCAGAGCATAGCCCTCCATATAGCTCGCCGAGATACCTTGAATATCCACGTCAAAGATCCATGTGTCATCTGACAACGCACTGATGGTCTCGTCTCATCCTCACAAGAGGAACTACTATTAAAATATATAGGAACGTTTAAATACGGATAAAATATAAGGCGCGCAATGTCCAGCTGTGAATTTCTTTTTTAGTTGTTATATACCGTTACCGTTATAGCCTATTAAAGACCACTGCTGAATATAGGATTCCCTCTTAGATTGCGTCATAGATATTTGCCATAGCTGCCATGCTTAGCAAGCTGGCTCGTTTTATTTTTATTTTTAGTCGTTACATAGTACTAGTAGTCAATATTCTTACACCGCCACTACACGGTTTAGTTATTGTATAAGCTGTGCTTTTGCTTCTGCAGCTGCATTGCACTAACTGCACCAAAGAATGGCATAATATTTATCCTGACCTCTTTTATCATAGGGGTCGATTATTATTTGTAATATTGGCGCTCCGCTGTTGTAGACGCGATAAGATGCTACTCGTACTCCCTGTTATCATTAAATATAAGTCGCAGCATAAATACGAGGTTATCAGCCCTGACCTTACCAACCCACCTGCCTAGAGAAGTAGTAATGTGTAAGGTCAAACGTTCAAAGTAGTTCTCGGTGGGCGACACATTTATGGAACGATTCAGAAGCGGACTTAATAAGGGCTTTTAAGTAT